AGAAACAGACACTAGAAACAGATAAAATATTGAAGTCTTGAACAGAAACAACTAAGTATTGACACTGGGCTCTTACCCTTGCCTTTTTTAACTGATCGGAGAAGAGGGTAGAGATGGGCGTCCTCGTCTGCGCCAAACTCCCAATTTCCCGAAACAATAACATAGTCATCTCCAGCTCCCTTGTTGGAGTCTGGGAGGTCGGCTACGATTTTGAATTCAATGGACCTCGGCTTAAGATAATAGACGAAGCCTTTTTCCTTCAGGTTAAGGGGGCACATGGTATAACAGTACTGGATGTCGGCAAGGGTGATCCTAGCATTCTTCTGCCTAGCTAAAACTATGATGCCATTGATCACTCGATAAGAGTTTATGGCAAGTTGCATAGGGTTCAACTTGTAAAAGTGAAGAATTTCGCGAAAGAGAATGTTAAGTGGGAGCCGGAGTCCGCACTCAGTAAAAGCTACTATGGGAAAGGGCATTGAATCATCTGTGGGCATGATGGAGTCGTTATCTTCATCCAGCCTCAGATGGACATCGGCAGGAATAGAGAACTCTTGCCTAAAGTAATCAAGTTTGGTCGGGGTGTCTACCCTATGTCTCGACATACCCATAACGTCGGCCTAAAATCAGAGGGCTAGGTTTCAAAAAGAAGATGCTCTTGAGAGGATTATCGGACCTCGGCGAAACCCTAGGTATATGCTGGTAAGGATTGTTTTAGTTTTTTCCTAAGAATTGATAGGTTCTATAGACAAATCCCAAACCTAAATCTATGAAGGCAAAGATTGAAAGTAAAAATTGAAGGTACAGCAAAGACACAAAAAACAGAAAACAAAGGCGAAGTTTCAGAAACAAGAACAGGGATGGGCTATCAAGAACATGAAGAATACGAGAAATAAAGGACCAAGATCAGTGGCAAAAATACAGTGAAGTGGTGCAACGGTGCGTGTGTTCAAGGTATAGGCAAGGGCCAAATCAAAGAGTAAACACATTCAGATGAATGATTCACAAAATAGATATTTGAGCAAGGCAGTAATAACAGGAGATTCCAGAAATGGTCAAGAATTGAAATCAGAAGGAACAGTTGCTTACCAGAAAAAATGAAGCTAATGTGAGGATTGCCGAAATCAGTCGTTAGTTACAGATGCGGCAGAACGACGAAAGTTCCACCAGGAAGACAAACAAAGAGCTTGGAAGCTTCAGCAATGGCGGATTCAAAAGAACGAGTTTAGAGAGAGAAACAGCAATTGCAATAGTGAAAAAATGAAAGAAGAAGGAAGAGTTTTTGTCAAAAACCAAAAACGGCGGCAAAAGATAATCAATACGCCTGGAGCAGCGCATACGTCAGGCGACGTACACAGGAAAAACGTGGTTTATAAGCGCGTCACAAACACGGACCAATAAGGTAAAGACGCGTAAGAGAAACGGTTGAGAAGTGATGCATGACAGCTCATGCGCGTGGGAAAGTTCACTGGAATTCTTGTTCTCCGAAGAGAACATGTCGGCTTGAAATAAATGATCTCGGCTGAAGAGTTTGTCAGCCAATGTATAGAAAGAGATATCGATATAGGTTCACCTCAAAATGCCGAGGTAATAGAACCTAGGGGGCAGTTGTGGGGATATATTTTCTGAGTACCAACACGTGGCATGGTGACGCCGACGTGTGAATCGAGGTGCCACGTGTCGTGGTAGTTATGCCGAGGTTATCTTGTCGAGGCCGAGGTTATCTCCGAAGATATCGGAATCCGAGATAAGCGGATAAGGGACAAGAGTCCTAGAATAAAGAGGGAACTTTGCTAAAGATAACGATAAAGCTCTTAGGGAATTTATCTTTATCTCTTGAAGAGTCCAAAGTAAGTATTGAATTGGAGTCCATAGAAGTCAAGCTTTTAGTGGGACTAGAATTGAGTAAACTATAAAAGAGAGGTACCCCCGTGGGTCTAAGGTATGAGTTTTTATGCTTTGAGTAGTGATTTTGACAATTGATTATCTTTGAGAGATATATTGACTTGATCGTCGGAGTGCCCCCGGGTGGAAGAGCAACCGTCGGAGCCTTTTCTTTCTGTTACAGGTTAGCTGAAGTCATCTATTCTGCCGGTGCTCTCCAGTTGATTACTTAGCGGGCAGTGTGGTCGGAAAATCACCCACACAACCTTAATGAAATTCAATTTTATTTTATTTTTTGATAAACAAGTGCTATAGTGGCTGTGTGTTTCCTTGCATGCACTACTTCTGTTGTGTAACTGTTAAACTATCATTTTTTGAGGTCTGTGTGGTTAGCAGGGGTTAACTTCTTGTTTCATCTTTCTTGTGACAACATATAGTTTTTTGTCATATTGAATCACATGCGTAAAAATGAAACAATCTGATCATATTCTGATTCCTCAAATCTAGAAATCTGATACTTTGAATTGAAAGTTTAGGTAAAAAAATCTTCATATCCTTTCCCAGTGCATCATAATCATCATGGATTCGTGGAACTCTAGTTACTGGTGCAAGGTTGCTTTTATCAACCCTCTTTGTTCAGTTATTTAATATTTGCCCTTTTTTTTTTTTTTTTTTTTTTTGTGTCAACTGTGTTACAGATCCAGTGCTAAGTGAAGACAATACTCCCTTTTCTAAATGCTTGAATTTCGTTATTAGTAAGTCTGTTATGGAACTTAGCATTCAAATCAAAACTGAACTAACGACATTACTTTGTACCTGGACAAACAACATTTGTGTTAAATATATATGCAGATCACTTGTTGCATGACAACTTGTTAGCAGCAAATTCTACTGAATGAGAAAGATGAAAGAGAAGACTACTGAATGTGATTTTGTATGGGGCTTGTATGTGGGTGGAATTTCTGTATTTGTTGGCCTTTTAAGGTTGAACTGGAATACTCTGTATATTTTTATTTTGATGTAACACGTACTGGCGTTCGCTGATTAGGGATGATAAAAAAAATTTGTTTGTGTGTTCGTAGTCGAGCTCATGCACAATAAGTGAAACTTTGTATGCTTCGATGTGGCCTTGTAATTCAAATTTGAGCCATTGATGGGCTATTTTCTTGGTTTTTGTTCATCTGTATTAGAAGGGAATTCTCAAACTGTGTTCATATTAGTTAAATTCTCAATCAATTTGGCCCTGTATTCTTATATATTTCTATGGAAAAAAAAGAGTCATATGTTAACCGTGACAAAAATAAGATAATAGGCAGTGGCGAAGGTAGGAAACGAAATTAGAAGGGACTTAATTACAATTTTAATTTTTTTTTTCCATAATTAACAATAAGAAGATAATAATAATTTTTGAATTAATATTAAGTACAAAAGCTTAAATAAATTATTACAAAAGTATTTCTCATAAAATTTTACAATTAATTTCGAATAAAATTGAAAAGAAAGTATTGCGTGTAGCTAGTGTTTTATGGACAATGTAAAAAAGTCATATGTTTAAGTCGTAAAATAAATTATATAATGGTAAGATAAAAAAATTTTACAAAATTTAAGTAAAAATTTCATATAATAGTGATATCACTTCATTATTGATATATGATATCACCAATCAATAGTAAAACAACATATGAAGAGTGAACAGCACATGCAAATATAACCAACACTCTAGTAATTTTTACATATATATAGTGAGATTAATTATACTTGCATATCAATAATGATGAATATTACCTTTATATTGAGATTTTTTTACAAAATTTTCATATATAAAAATATAATTTATTGTAATCACCTTATTTTCAATAAAAAAATCACTATTGTTTTCATAAATTTAAAAATGCCCTTGACATTTTATTCTAAATATTATTTTTGTTTAAAATTTTGTTTATATACATAAGTGAAAAAAAGAAAAAAAAAATTTAAGGGAGGAAAGTGACCCCCTTAATCACCATGTGGCTCCGCCACTGATGATGGGTGTTAAGATATGGCAACGTTTAAAAAAATGCCACCTATTAGGGGTGAGTATGGTCCGAATTGGTTCGGATTGGGAGAAAACCAGGACCAATCCGTTATTTACAGTTCCTGAAAAATTAAAACCAATCCAATCCGTTTAAATCGTAGAGCCAATCCGAACCAATCCGTTTAAACATGGATTGGATCGGTTTAGGATTACGGATTCACATAATTAAATAACAAATATATATATATATATATATATATATAACATTTAAAGCAAACAACATTTTTTTGTGTGGGTCTATTTGTGTGTTACTATTAAGTAATAACTGAACTACCATTCTGATGTTAGAAATTAATAAGATCATGCATAATTCTTTGGTGATGTATTTGTTTTCTACCAAATTAGCTAATATTTCTGATAAGTTTGCTACCAAATAAGCTAGATGGCTCATCAATGGATTGTTTTAGTGTGATGAATGCTTTTATCAATATAAAATACATATATACATAGTATATGGTTAACTTATTACAATATATTTATATTTATTTTTCTCAGGTTACTTCAAGAATGAGCCCAGCTTTCTATCTTTATGGATGCACCTTAATTGGTAACATCCAGACTAAGTCTTCTACCTTTTATATTACTTCTTTAACACAATGAATAACACTATACTAGAAATGAAAGAAAAAAATACACTGCATATGGTATAAATATAGATTATTTCTAGATGGTCCGGATCAGTTCCAATCTAGAACCGTGAGGTTCAATTCGGAACCGATCCGTGGACTACAGATTTTGAAATTTCTAATCCGGAACCGAATCATGGATTCAAAAAATCAATCTAAACCTATCATATTGGACTGGACTGGATCGAGTTACGGATTTTATAGATTCCTTGCTCAGCCCTACCACCTATAACTATTAACTGCATTTTAAAAACGTTGTAAAGTTAAGACGGCAGCTGCATCAACGACAATATTATGGCATTTTTAAGGCCTACAGTGGCTTTTATGACACTGTTAATTGCAAAATTTCTTGTAGTGCATGCTCTCCTCGATCAAATATAACGAGTTTTGTCAAATATTTGTTACATGATATAAAATAGGAGAAAAGCAAGTGACATTTTTCTCTTATAAATTGAATACCAAGCAATTCCACTACAAACCTACGTATGAATTTGCCTCAAAAGACTCAATGTTGATCAAATCTATAAAGTTCATGCCAGTAAGTTGGTTTAAAACTCCTTTATGCTATGGCTCCACAAAGTAGATATGCATCTTTGTTACTCTGCATCATTATTTAAGAAAAAGTGAAAAAGAAAAAGAAAAAGAAAAAAGTCTATGTAGTGTTGTGAAAAAACAGAAACCGCATTTACAATCCAGAAAGTGAAGTCATAGTAATGGCAGGTGGAGAGGGATTGAAAAATTCATCATCAGTCCAATTAGTCTCGCCCCAGTGGCGTAACATGCTCTCCCAGGAACAAAAATTGTCAATGCACTTGTTCAAACGCCAATCCTTAATTTGATTTCTCCAATGTCCATCTGTGTAGTTTTCCTTTTCAGCTTGCATTCTGTTCCACTCCAATTGAGCTTTCTGTTTCGATTTCAAAAGGCAAAACTGCTGCAATTTCTGTGGCATTGCATCGTGCACTCTCCACCACTTGTTGTGAGCAACATCACTCGCAAACTCATGGAATATATCGACATTCCAGTTGCAATCATAGTCCCTGAAGCATAGCCATGGCTTCAACCCCAGATAATGGAGAACATAAAGAATTGGAGGCTCAGCCCCAAAAAGCTTTGTTTTCTTCTGCTTCACCGCTTCATCATCTCCAACCCAGAAATTTTTCAGATAGTTCATGTGTTTTGGAATCCGATGCCACCATGTAAAGATTTCATTCAAGTAGCCCTGGTCTCCACCATTGTAAGATTCAATTTCGTTGATGTGATCAATTAAAAGCTTGAATGTACAATCTGATGGCTCTATCACCATTACACCAGAGTTAAAAAGTGTTCCATTATTTCCTGTTGCAGAAATTTCTGGCATACGAAATAGGAAATCAATGTTCCTAAGTATAAGCATATCAGCATCGATGAAAATAATTTTGTCGTAATCTGTGAGCTGCCACAATCGGAATTTGCTGTAATTCCATTCGTTGTAAGCATCTTTTTCTGCCTTTGGGTTTCTTATCCTCTGGATTGTCCTGATTTTCCAGCCTGCTGCCTCAAGTCCACTCCTGTGGTACTCACTGATTGTGTCATCAACAAGTATGATGAGGTCCCTGGTCGATCCAGCCATGCGGATGCTTTGAGCTGCTACTATGGCTCCACATACATAAACATGAGCTGAATGCAGGATTGTCGCATATGCCTCCCGATGATGATGCACCTTTCTTTCTGACTCAACTTCTTGTTTTTCTGCTTCCACAACTTTCAAGAGAATGTATTAAATTAACACTAGCTAATAAATAACACTTGAAATTGGCAGAAAAGGTTCCAAACTTTCTATTCCTTAAAAAGGGTTTGAATTAAAGAGAAATATTTATGTTTCATTTTGCAGCAGCATCAAGTCAATCCTCTACATATTTTGTGAGAAAAGCAAAGCAGTGGAATCCGAAGCCCCCCATTTTGATTTATGAGAGAAATGATGAATTGAAGAGATTTGTGCAGTCTCAGATAGTGGTGTTGTGAATATTTACAATTCAGAACACTGGATTGGAAACTGACCTTTATTAGGTTTGAGTGGAAGAGCAAGTTGACAGGACCCAACTGGTAGCTGGAGTTTTTCTCGCAATGCATTCAAATTCGGTTTGTATAACCACGTGTTACCTTCACGTAAAACGAGTTCCTTGCAAATAAAGAGATTTGGTATGGGAAAGCCCTTGGTCACAAATAGTAAATGCAAAGGGTGATTATTGGCTTTGGCAGAGACTGGTGCTATTGCTAGCTGAGCAGCCGCGAGCTGCACGTGCAAACGAGCCACGTCTCTAGACCAGTTTCCCTCATCTCTGCAAGGGAGCTTAATAACAATGAGATCAAGCCTTTTTCTAATTCTAGGCACTTGGACCTTTGGTAGAGTCGGGCAAACAGGAATCTCTTCCTCTTCTTCTTCATCAATCCATTCTGGATACAAAGAATCCCATGTCACTTTTCTCTGGACGTGGTCCAAGTGCAGAAAAATATGCTCAGCCTTGGGAATTAGCTCTTTCCAATGATCAATTTCACTCTTATTGAAATTCAAGATGCCAATTCCCTGAAAATTATTCTTGCCAGATATTGTCCTGATGACCCTTGAGATTTCGTTCCAATTAATATCTAAATCCGATGTATATTGAGGATCTGATGCGCCCCATATCCACCTCCACCTGTTCACAAAATTTGGCTTATATTAACTAAATATAAGATGTGCATTAAAATACTTTCGTAAATAAATAAATTAGAGTCTTTCATTTAGAGTCGAAATCACTTCTTTTTAAGGTGGAAAGCTGAAGCACAAATTTCCTGTTAGGAAATGATTTTGGGAGGGGGGGCAATTATGCAGAGCATATGGGGCCAAACGGAAATAAATTGCGAATTGTTAACTTTTGAGAAAAAGATGAATAATGGTTATTTGCTGTAAAATATAAGTTGTTGCAAGGGCGTAACTGTCATGGCAATCTAAATTAATTGGCAAACCATATGGGCATATTTGATTAATAGGATTAGAGTATGAAATTGGGATTATTAATCCACGAGTCTAATAATCTTAGGTTTGTTTTGAAATTTTGTTTAAGGATTATTAATCCAATGAATAATTAATCCAACAAATTTGTAAAAGTATTAGTAATGAGGTAAGGGTGAGATTATATATTATGAGCTGAGAAATAAAATAAAAAGAGTCTTTTACCCTTGGCTAAAAATTAAAATACTTATTATTTTTAGGAAAATTTACCCATAAGTCCTAGTTTTAGAAACGTTGAACCATTTAGTCCTAAAAGTTTTCTTATGCTCTATTTAGTCCCATTTTTACATCAACATGATGTGAATGATGTAAATGATCTGATGTTTCATTCTATAATTTCAAAATTTATTGAAATCTGATGAACATTAGATGTTTTTCATCCTATATTTTCAAACATTATTGAAATTTGATGAACATTAGATGTTTGAAATCCAATGTTTGTAACATGACTCTGATGTTATTAACATTGTATCTGATGTTATTAACATTGTAATGGGACCTTTCAGTCTATAAAAAAACTTTTAGGACTAAACAGTGCATAAGTTATTAATTTGGGATTTATTGGTGCATCCCCCGTTTATATAATTTTATATTTTAGTAGGCTAAAAATAATTTTTAAAAACTTAAAAATATTTTTTGATATTTATTTTATCAAATTAGTTTATATTTTTTTTATAAAAAAAAAAAAAAAAGGTTAAAAAACAAACCAAACATGGCCTTTGTGTTTTGCTTTTATTTATTTATTTATAATTTTTTTCAAAACCACGTGAAAAAATTTTGATAAAGTAAAGATTGTGAATAAACATTGATGGAGGATAAGATTGAAAAAGATGATAAATATAGTTATAATTATACATTCATATGTTTTCCTTAGGGATCGTTTGGTAATGTTGCCTTTTGGGTTTTTTGACTTTTTTAGCTTGGAACTTTTTTGTTTGTTTGGTTTGTTTGTTTGGCTTTTTTGACTTTTTGCATTAGAATGACAAAATTGCCCTCCACTTGGAAATGATGCTCTTTTGGCTTTTTGTTTGTATATGGGTCAATTTGGTAATTTTGCATCCAAAGTCAAGTGTTTCATCATTTTGTAATATTGTTACTTATTTTTTTGTTCATACGTGCTTTTTTAGTCCCAACAAGAAAACTAAACCGATTGTATAGTGAATACAACATTAATTTGATGAGACTATTAATACATTCACTATTAATTTTGTGAATCAAACATGGCGTAGAAGTATGAGGGATGATTAGTATGGGGGATACAGAGAAGGGGTATTCAACATCTTCACATATAAATCTTCATCTACTCATAGGAAAAAGCACATGCAATGTAACCAACCAACCAACAAGAAACACAACTTACCGAGAAACAGCTTGTGATATATGGTCATGATGATGAGTAGTTGGTGAATAGAGAATTGTGATGAAAGTGCAAAATATAATGATAGCCAGGACAAGCTTCAAATGATGAAACTTCCATTTTGCACTCTTGTCTTGGATAGGGATGTGAAATGGCTTCTCAACATCTTTAACTTTACTTCTTTGCAATCTTCTTTTGTATATATCTTCGCTGATTCAGGTGTTGGGTATTCAACAATAAATAATGTATCAGGTCAGGATTCAGGAGAAGAAGATAAAACATGATGAATAAGAAGAACAACCCGAAGCAGAACCACACCAATAAAGGAACTGAGATAGTTTGTTCAACCTGACATTACCAACAAAGCAAACTTGTTTATAATGCACACAGTTGTTGTCAAAGAGTTTAAAAATCTCAACTAATAATTAAAAAGAAGGAACTTTTAGGATCCATTCATTCCATTGTAGCTAAAGAAGATCATATTAATTCCATCTCTGGTCTTCTTGTACCATCTGGGAGGATCTTATTTATGTTATGTTCAAAGCGATCTCCATTGAAATTCCCACTTGTAAACCATTTCGCTTGAGACTGTTTTCAAGTTAAGATGACATTTTGTTATTGTTGTTGTTGTTGTTCAACAATTAATAGATAAAGCAAATTAAGGCTGTGACTAGCAGACCTGTAAGGAACCTCTATACCTATTACCTACCCCTGAGACAGAAACTGTCATTATCATGTAAAGCAATCGAAACACGATAGTATTCAGGGAGGGGGATCAAATTGGTTGATTTGTATAGTCTTTGCTCTGAATTGGTAGTAGTATATAATAATAATATACATGGGTTGAACATAAATGATATTCTCACTGCAATAAGGAGATTTCCTAGATGTAGAAAGCAATTGCTAGATTCCACTATTGCAAAGCAAGATACAAAAAAACAAAACAGAGAAGTAAGGAAGGAAGAAAAGAGCTCAACTCACATTGAAATTGAACGTTGTCGAGCCTCCATGGGATGCTACTATCAAATGCTCCTCCTCTCTTTCACTTGTTAGTTAGTAATGGGTGAATGAAACATCTGATCCACAAATAACAGCTAAGCAAACCAAGTTCATCATACACATCATAGCACAATTGATTAATTTCATAGAAGAAGCAACAAATTCACAGAGTATTAAAGTAAAACAGAAAATAGCCCGCTACTAAGAAAAGAAATGGCAAAGAGAGGCTACCACAGATTTAGATAATATGAAATTGATATCATGAAATGGGGAGCTACAGAAGAATATAAAGGTATAAACAAAGAAAGATGAAGTAGATAGGATAGCACAGAACAAAGAGAGGACAATAAGAAAATGAATATACTTTGCATAGATTTTTTCAATAATCTTCAACCATTTCTGTGATAGTAAATCAAACAAAACCCAATTATTAAAAATGGGTCATGACTCGCATCAATGTGTGTGTGTGTGTGTGTGTGTGTGTGAGAGAGAGAGAGAGAACAGACCAAAAACGTTTCACAGCATCTATGCAGCAAAAATCTTTGGAGGATTGTGGAAATGGTGATTGATTGAGATGAAGAAGAGAGCAAATAGAGTGAAGAGCATGGAAGGAGAGTCGATATAGACAAAGAATAACGTCTATTTAAATTTTTTAGTAGACTGTGTATTGAGAATTTCACTGTAAAATTTTATTTTGTTTCTTTCTGTTTTTGGGTGTACCACTGTAGATCTTGAATTTCCTTTACTCAACAACTTCTTCTTCTCCTTTCTTTTTCTTTTTCTTTTTTTTTTTAAATATTTGGTATGAAGTGAATAGAAGAAATGATAATTGAAGGACGAAATGTGAACATGATGCCTTGTTTGAAAATAAATTATTTTTGTAATTTTTTAGCTTTTTATAAAAAAAAGTGTATAGAAAAGTAAAGAGAGTGATGTGACAATTTATAATATCTTTTTTTTGACTAAAATGTATAATTGACAAACAAGACCTAAGTATCACATCAAAGGAAAAAAAAAAAAAATATTTTAGTTATTAAACTTAATATAAGTATACATAAGCAATCCAAAATACTATTTTTCGTTGAATTTAATAACTAAATGCAAAAATAGTGGATGGATTATTATTATTAGGAATAATTACAAAAAAAAAAAAAAAATCCTTAAGATTTAAGTTTTATAACAAAATAAATTTTGAGTTTTTATTTTTATCAATTTAAATCTTAATCTTTTAATTTATTTTCAATATAATCCATTTACTTATTTTTATTAAGTAAAATTGATAGAAAATGAGTATTTTAATTATTAAAATCAATAAAAAAATATTTGAGACATTTTATGAATACTTACGTTAAATTTAATAACTAAAATATTTTTTTTTTTGGTCAATTTTACTTAACAAAAATAAGAAAACTATTTAGATTAAAAAAATAAAAAATTAAGATTTACATTGATAAAATAAAAAAATTATTTTGTTATAAGTTTCAAATTCTAAGATTATTTATTATTATTATTATTATAAAGTTTTGTCTTTTTTTCATTTTTATTTTTTTATCTTTTACTTTTTTTGAAGTTTTAATAAAGTCTTTGATGTTGATGTTCAAGCAGTCTTACAAGATGGTACCACCTAACATGACTTTGTACTTCTATCTTGTGTAGGACTTTGTTAAAGAAGTCAAGAAATGGATCGAAACAAATAATCAAAATCATTAACCAATCAAGTAAAGACCTCCCAGAGCTAAATAAACTGTTTGATTGCTTAGATTTGAATATGAAGTTCCTAGTCTTGTACCCATTACTAGGCACTTAAGATAAGGTATCCATATTAAAACAATAATTTCCTTTCTCAAACGAAGTAAACTCAACTTTAAAGCAATAATTACAAATTAAAATTTCATCTGGTTCTTATATTAGGAAAATTACTCAACAGGGTACTTTTTCAAGGGGAAAAAAAAAATCAAATGAATGTTAAACTTTAAACATATTAATATTTAAATTTATAAACTTTCTCATTAATTTATAAATATTTTCTAAAAACTCCACTAGGATGTAATTCTCCCTTTTATATTTTTGAGTAAATCTGTATAACAAAAATCATAGGACAAATATCATTTTACTTTAACCAACACAAACAAACTCAATTAGCAACTGGTTTACGTCTTGTTAACATCTTGTTACCGGCAAGACAGCCTCTCCAAATTACAACCTCTAATATATACCATAAAAATTTAAGATATTGTTTTCCTATAAATAATATAAAGTACAACAGATTGGTGCATAATGTTGTTGCCAATGTGGCATTTCTATTTAAAATTGGATTGTAATTAGCTTTTGGAACAAATTGGGAAAGGTTAGAAGTGTTATGGGCCAAAAAAAAAAAAACTTCAAAGAGGGCTAAAGATTCAATTCGTGCATTGTCATAATGCACTATGAGTTGTTTTAGAAATATAATTAAAAGTTGACTTTTTGAATTTTTTTACTATTTCATATAAGAGGTGATATGACTCAAAATAGGTTAAAAATTGATTTTTGACTTTTTTAGTGTGTTGCCAAAATACCTCTATGTTTTATTTGCCTTTTCTACCATATTATCTTGATTGATAGTCTGTTTATGCGTGAGACAGAATCGCATGTGAAAAGGATTATTAGTTTAGTTTAACAAATTTTGGATCTACTTCCTAATAACTTAAGCATTTGACACGATTAATAATTTAACAAATTTTGTTCTTTCATTAATTCTTTTATATATTTTTATTTTAGTTTAGTTTCATTCTTTTTTATTTAAAGAAGATTGAGATCATATTTTTTTAATTTAAGATTACTTGCTATATTAGGTTAATGAAAACAATTGTTAAGTTGACAATGGATATGGACACGGATTATGATGTGAAGATGATGAAAAGTCCCATCTTACTTACTAAACAGGGGGAAACAATTATTCCTTCTAGGTGGGTTGCTAGAAATTCCACATTAAAAAAACACATGACATTGATAAAAATATCTTTTTTCTTTTCCAAATTTCTCCATAATGTGTGATTTTAATGTTTTATTCTTAAAAGGTTATAATATCATATTTTGTCCTTGTGTGTGTTAAGTGGTCTATATCTTCATTTAGTTTTAAGTAAATGCAAACTATTTACCAAGCCAAAAGTAATGTAACGTGTGAAATTCTATAATTCATAGTTGTTTAAGGGTGCCTATCATATACTCTAATTATAATAATTGTGATTTTTAGTTATAATTTATTATTATGTTAATTATAACTTGATTTTTAATTATACCTTATATGGTATTTGGTTATGACTCATTATGTTATTTTTAATTATGATTGAAAATGATTTAATTATGACATTAGTGATAATCAACACCACAAATGTCATGACATGTATATAATAATACAAGAAATACTCCGGTATGTAATGCATATCATATGCAACTCAAACACAAAATTACATAAATGTTTACAAACTTACATAAGTGATCTCACAAAAATTTGTAAGTTAAATATAAATTCATGCAAGTCCGTGAACACTTGCTTGTTTTGTGAATTTATGCAAATTTGTGTTCAATTTACACATTTTTATGAGATCACTTACATAAATTTATAAAAATTTACATAATTTTGTGTTAATGTTATGTTAAAAAATTGAGTAAATTATAAATACACTCCCTAAAATTTGTTTAAAATATAGATTACTCCCTGTGATTTGGAAAATTACAAATACTCCATTGTTAGAATTTTTTACTTAACAAAATTAACTAAAAAAATAAAATTCATAATTGCACTCTTATACAGTAATAAAATTACTTAAATTATTAATTAAAATATGTATCTGACATCATTAAAAGCTGTTAATTAACTTACTGATTTATTAATAAAATAGACGATTTGTTATGAAATTAAAAATTTCAAAAAATGAAATGTAATTTCTAAAAGTATATGAGACTATTCTTATTTTAATCGAACCGAAGTATATTTATAATTTATCCTTAAAAAAAATCCATTCAAGAATGACCCAATGTTCTCTCTCTTCTGTCTCGATTGAGACAAAACATGCATTCACTTGGCAAGTAATAATTTTTTAGAAAAATTATAAATACATTTCTTGAAAAAAAAAATTAAATACAAGTTTTTTTTTTTTGTGGGTGATTTGAAAAAAAAAATTAAATACAATTTTTTTTTTTTTTTGGTGATTTGAAAAATTACAAATACTTATTTATGATTTTTTTTAATTTAATAGAATTAGCTAAAATGATGAAATTTCTAACTATTCTCATATACAATAATAAAATTACTTGAATTATTAATTAAAATATATTTATGATATTATTAAAAATTATTAATTGACTTAATAATTTATTAATAAAATGAATCATTTGTTATGCATTTATTTGGCAAGTAATAATTTTAATTCATGTTAGTTCAATTAACTGTTAACCATTGTTTTTACCATATGCAAAGTCGTCCAAATCCCTTCACTACATAAAACAAGAAGAGAAAGCAAGAAAGAAAATAAAAAAAAATCGCGAGAAAAAGAAACAAAAAGTAGGACAATAATAGAGATACTCTCATTTATTCTTCTTGTAATTTTCTCATTTGTTATCAATCAATATGTAATTTTTCCATATTCTTTTTCTATTAATGTGGGGTTATGATCATACAAGTTCAAGGGTTCTAACAAAGATTATTTCAACAAATTACAAATCACATAATATTGTCAAAGCAACAATCAAAAGTCTAACCTCTTTTCTTGCAAGAAAAGATTAAATAATCTTTTATGAATTTTTGAGAGAGAGAGAGAGAGAGAGAGAGAGAGAGAGAGAGAGAGAGAGAGAGTTGATGCCTAATATATTAATTAGGGTAACATAAGAATTTAAGATTTATTGGTGCATTCAAAAAGTATATAGGAATTATAAGTATTTAAATTCACTCAATAGGACTGACTAGTAATTCTCTCAAATAATAAATCCACTAAAATTGATTATAACCTAAAATTTTATGGACCTTAAGGCCTTGTTTGTCATAACTTAAAAAAGTCAAAAAGTCAAAAAAATCACTATTCTATTTAAATCACATCATTTTATTTAAGTCACATGACCTCTTTACCACACCACTTCAAACCCAACCCATACCCAACCCATATTTCATAAAAAGTCAAAAAATGCACTTATTTAGATCATCCCAAACCACCCCGACTCATACTAGTCAATCTGTCAGAATCACTTTCAATTTTATAAACCAAGTAAGAACACATAGTTGATGGAAGCCCAAATAAAAAATAAGGCAAATTATACAAATAGTCTCTATAGTTTACACGTGTCATTTCGGTCCCTCTAATTTCAATTTGCTCAATTTTGACCTTGAATTTTGAACTCTATATCATTTTGGTCCAATTGAAAAATGGAAGTTAAAAAATTGGACGGAAAATTTGCACGTAAATGACATGTGATTGGTTTTCAAGGGCAAAATAGACATTTTGCTTTCTCTTTTAGTTTC